ATTTCTCTCTGGCTCGTTATGGGATATATCGATCTTCAACAACATTCAGACGAGCTGCTGGGAAGACATAGGCTACTTTATCGACCGCGGCCTTTTAGAGCTCCACGTATATGAGAAAATCTCACTTTTTCGACAAAAACATGTTTTCGGTGGAAGATTCTACTACCTTTTGTTTAATTGCGGTAGGTACTAAAACTTCGCCAAAATCAATTTTTGCTATTCAACAAATTACCATAACCATAAAGTCAAGGTGCACGAATAGTATTTCCAGGGATAGTTGTCGCGAGTTCTAGCTTTAATTTAAGCCCAAGTGGAAGGTTCTATCTCCTTTTGTTTTTTGCTAGAGCTTCTCAAATATTGCAAAAAACGCGATTTTTTTGATACTTTGACCACGTTTTTCTCAAAATCTAAAGCGGATGGATACTTACAGATTCGTAATCAGCACAAAAAAGTCTATCAAAAACAGCTTTTAACATTTTTGGAAACAAATTTTTCTTCTATTTTTAAAGCCTGTGTAATATATTTATTTTTCATACATACATGTGTATGTATATATATCAAGGAAATTATCCTTTAATCAAATTTCGAAAAAATTTTATTTCTGCAGTTAAAACGCGGCCATTCGTTTTGAATTTCGAGAAATGGAAGTCGTTCATGAGTTGAAGGACAAAAATGCAATATTGCTACATGGTTGAGCCGTTTTGGTGCATTGAAGTGATCGGACTTCTACCACATTGTGGTAGATCTGCCACTTTTTTGAGCATCTCCCACATCTACTACTCAAGGTCTGCAATCTACCACATATTCGCGTTTCTGAGTAGTTTTATTTTTGCTTGGCATAATTTTCTTAGTCTTAAGAGCAAAAATTGTCCAATACTAAACACTATATTGATGGCTGAGTGAAAGATCGACCTATCTCGGGAGCCAGTTCGAAAACGCCCTGTCTCAGAAAATTTTTCAACAACGCTCTATCTCATAAAACTTTTCAAGAACGCCCTATCTCAGAATTTGATTGAAGGACGGCCTATCTCAGCTGCCGATTCAAAAACGCCCTATCTCAATTTTCAATGTATTTTCGTTTAGGATATGGCGTTTTGGAACCGAATTCTGAGATAGGGCGTTATTCAGCCAAACTCTGAGATTGGGTATTTTTCAATAAAATTATGAAATAGGGCGTTTTTCAATCAAATTCTCAAGTAGGGCGTTCTTGAAAAGTTTTCTGAGATAGGGCGTTTATCAACTGGCTGCTGAGATAGGTTGATCTTCCACTCAGCCATCGATATGGTAACAAAAATGATATAATACAGGATTCCACATTCCCGGCGACGATGAAATTTCTCAATTAAAAGTAAACAAATCCGAATGGATGGCCCGTAAATCTTCCGCAAAATCTTTCTCTCAAACACTCCAAGAGCCGCCTCATCGGATGTTGTCATTGTCCATGCTTCTGCGCCATATACCAGCGCGGGCATGATGAGTGACTTATAGAGCGTGGTTTTCGTACGTCGAGAGAGGACTTTACTTCTGAATTGCCTTTTCAGTCCAAAGTAGCACTTGTTGGCAATAGTGATTCTGCGTTGGATTTCTATGCTGACATTATTATCGGTGTTAATGCTGGTTCCCAAGTAAACGAAATTCTCTACTCGAAATTGCAACTGTCAACAGTGGCGTGGGTGCCAAGGCCCGAATGTGCTGACTGTTTGTTTGATGACAGGAGATACTTCGTCTTGTCCTCGTTTACCACCAGACCCATTCGCTTTGCTTCCATATCCAACTTGGAAAAGGCAGAACAGACTTCACGGTTTTTGTTGTCGATGTCAACGGCATAAGCCAGCAATTGCACGCTCTTGTAGTAAATTGTTCCCGAGCGGTTCAGTTCTGCAGCTCTTATTATCTTCTCCAACATCAGATTAAAGAAGTCACATGAAA